AATACATGGTGCTAACACCTGATTCTATTTCCTTCCAGTAAGATAGGGTGCCAGCCCCTGGTTACATTTCCCTTTAGTAGTACGGGAACCGATCCCTGGTTGCACAATCATTCGTTACCAAATTTTATCTCCTTTAGCTAGTTTATACTACTGTTTCTGTCTGCCTTTCAATAAATTAGATAGTTTATAACTTTCGTTGATAACTCACAAAATTTTCCTAGTCCAAACTGGGGCAGAAAATTTTTGTTCGTCTTTGATGGCTTTGTAGGCCTCGCCGCAGAGCACAGGTTATGACGATCGAAGCTTGCAGTTTCAGTTATCATCAGAAGGACGATCACAGGATAGTTTGGGTTTAACTTTGTCAACGTGTCGGCAACACAGCTTCTCAAGTTTCATTTTCTCAAATTCTGATCCAGAAAGCAAGCACTCGAGATTGAATCATAATCTCTTCTTTAATGAGAATCAAGATCCAGTCTAAGGTCAACACAAGAGAGCAAGTCAAGAATCAAGATTTGACTCCAGAAGACACGTAGATAGGAATTTTGTACTCTTAGTTTGCAGACATATGTAGTGCTTTTCTCTTTTTCTATTGATGTAAGAAGCAGTAACAGTAAGAGTAACAGCAACAGCAGCAACAGTCTTAACTCCACTATTTGGTAGTCCCAGCTACCAAATTTTTCTAGAACTACACTGACCCGATTCCTTTACAACCAAGGATATGTAGGCAACCTCGGAAGCAAGGTTCGGTCACCCCTTTGTAAAAAACGCTTTCATTAGAGTCATAGGTGAGCAAAAGTTAGTCATGACATTCACTATCTTTGCACGAAAACTCTTCATGTTCTCGAGCAAAGAGGGGCGACTGTAAATGCCTAATTTTTGCTTTTTCTTTTTTCTTCTACATTACATTTTTATTTTTTAATTTTTTTTAGGATTATTATTTGTGTATTTATAGTTTTTGAATTAAGACTTTAGCTTAATTAATTGTTGTGAGGTCCAAGGGATTGGGTTTCTTAATGTTTTATCCAAATTGGGCCAAATTTGAGGAAAATTGGCGGCCCAAATCAGCCAACCTAGTCCAAATGTTGTTTTGCCAAGGTCTAGATCAAAACGACGTAGTTTCATATTGAAACTACGTCGTTTCACTTAATGAAGTTGAGAACAAATCTCATCCCTTCAATCCAACGGATCATTTCATCTCCCTTTCCAAATAAAAGAGCCAAAAGTCAGATTTTTGGCCATTTACCCAAACCCTAGAGACCTCTTTTCACTCTCTCCTCTCTCTCTAAACCTCTCTGCCCGCCGCCACCTTCTCCATGGTGGCTCCGCCGGCCGAAAATCGCCGCTGACGCCGGACCACCTCCAATCCACCCCAAAATTTCACCATCTCCTCCCCTCTTCCTCTTCTTTCTACCTATACCACTCAAAATCCCCAAAAACTTCTCAATCTCACCAAATCTAAACCTAAGCGTAACCATAGCCGCCACCTGCCGCCGTTCACCACCTCCAATCCCCACCAAAATCGCATTATTTCCTCCTCTTCTCCTCCTCCCTCCGTATCTCCAACCCATGTCCCCAAAATCCCCATCGCCGCCGACCGGAACACCCTACTGCCACCACACCTCTGCCTCGTCCTATCTCGTGACTTGAAGCACGAGTTTCTCATTAGTGATATTGTGACTGACCTCTGGCTCGTTGCAAATCACGGTCACAATTCACCAATTAGAAAATCGTGCTCGAAGTTCACATCGTTGTTGAGTTGGCGTTCCACCACTGCCCGAATCACCACCACTGCCGCACCACTCGATTTTCTGGTACACCCTAATCCCTTGTGTCCCCTTTCTTTTTCTTTTACTTTCTGTTTCATTGTAGTTTGCTTAGGTCTAAACTTTTTGATTTTTCTTCTTTGTTTGATCATGTGTTTTATTTATCTTTAGTTAGCCGTTAGTTAGTTTAGAGTCAGTAATGATTAGTCGTCGCTCGTTGATCTCAAATTATTTTGTTGTTCGGATTCCTATCTCATAAGTTCTGCTAATGGTGTTTGAAGTTAGTTGTAGATTCAAGTTTGTAAATTTTAGCTTCAATTGCAGTTTCTGTTATTTCACGTTTAATTCGTCGTGCTAATTAACTGAAGTTTCAAAGTTTTGGACTCTAACTAGAACCTTAATCCTTTCTTTAGGTTTCTGATTTCTGTTGCCTACTACTTTATTGTAGTTATTGTAGTAGTGTAAGTTTTGTTAGTGGTCGATTTTAGTTCGTCTTCTATCTAGTTTTCAGTTTCTTCTTCGCTTAATGAAACTTTTTCACTAAGTTTGTTTTCTCTGTTAACATGTGTTTTGCTTGGTTTGATTTTAGTCATTAGGTTTTAAGTTCTCTTGGTTGATTAATGGTTCAGTGTTAAGTTTCAGTTACATGTTTGTAGTAGATCAACTATGTTCCGGTTACTTGCTTTTCATTTGATTTGAATCACATGGTTGGTATTGTTGTTGTTAAAAGCTGTAGAGTAGATGAGTAATCATGTGTTAGGGGTACACTAGCAACTTATTTTTAGTACTAGGGTGGCTGAAATGACTCTTTGCTTCTGCCATAGCAGATTTCAGGCTGTCCTTTCACCTTTTGGACAGCCTTTGAACAGTGTTTAGCACACAAAGTCAGTCCCTTTTTGGACAGATTTTTGGTGAACCAAAATCTGTCCAAAAAGTTGGTTTTTCTTTGCCTATTTAAGGGCTGCCCTTTCCTCATTTAAGAGGGGACTGGAATCACACATTTGTTGGATAGTTTTTACACCCTAAAAACACAACTTTGAGAGTAAAAATTAGCAGCTGAAACACCCTTTAGTAAGCTGAAATTGTAAGTCTTAGGAGTGAATCTTTGTAAAAACTTTCAGAAAAGTAAAGTCTTCTTAAAGTTTGGTTCTGGGCTTCTTCTTTAAGTTTTCGGATTGTTCCAACACGAATTTGTTGTTTGTTTTGCTGCTGTTCCGTTGCTGTTTTCTGCTGCCTTTGTTCCTGAGCTTCCATTCTTCATTGTTGTATTTATTATTCTGCGTCCCAGGTAATTCTTTAATCTTATGTTGCAGATATTTTCACATTAACAAGAAGATTTGAACTCATCTTGATTGCTGGGAGCATATCCGTTTAAATAAATGAGTGCTCAGCTAGATTTCTTTATTGTTTAAATATATCTTGTTGTAGTTCATATGTAAAAAATGAATCCTTGGCTGATCAAACACTCTTTATTCATGTGTTATTTGTCTTTACTATCTATTATAGTTTTGATGCATATAAAATGAGATGTTTCAAGTAGGTCGCAATGTGTTTAAAAACTCTTTTTGCACGTTATGCAATTCTAGCCAGTTTATGATAGGCTATTTCTTTAAAAAAAATAACAAAAGAGCCATGCTTGAAACCTTTATTTATTGTGATAAAATTCAGATTTTACATGTGACCATCTCTGCTAGGACTTTAGATTTTTGGTAGAAAGTGGCTAGATCTTAAATAGGTGTTTGGATTTGCTAGTTAAAAACAAGGGTTAATGGCTTAGAGCAAAAGAGGCCAGACTCGCAATTTTGCCCAGGTGGGCTGTCTTAGTAAAACAGAAGTCGAAATCCATTGGGCTTTCAGCTTGTGCCCATTTTCGGAGCCCAATAAAGGGCCAAGGCAGATTCTGTCCAACAGGCCCAATGCCTTTAAGAAGTCTATAAATATTTTGTCCATTTATTTTATGGATGTTGGCCCAATGCTATAACTAAATAAGCAAATTGGCCCACTTTCTCAATAAATAATATGATCCATCTTCAAAAATAATACTTACTAGATTAGTTGAATAAACTTATTAAGAATTAGTTAATTTTCATGATGTGTAACAATAATCCAATAACTTAAGTACCTTTAATTAATTTAAACGCTAGGCAACTAGTAGGTGCGTTTTAACTTCTTCTTTTTTATTATTTCACGGACTCGCTTGCGTAGCATGACATTAACATTCAATGTTTTAATTCAATAATCTCATACCATTTCTACTAGCTTTAATTATTATTATTTTTTATTTAATTATTCCTTTCACTAAAATAATGGATTCGCTTGTGTAGCGCGATAGTTAATATTTAATTAATTCCTTTAAATATAGTAACTTTTTTTTTTCAAAAGTAATAATATACTAATAATCCTTGTCATAACTGCGGATTCGCTTGCGTAGCGCTGTGATGATAAAATTAATAAATTTTATTTCGATCACGCATTCGCTCGCGTAGCGTGGTTATGACAACATAATTTATCCAAAAAATCATTTTCTTTTAATAATAGATCTAACAATCCGGAAATAAAAGCGGATAGGTGAAACATGAAAATCATACAAATCACAGTTTGTCCATAATTAATTAAATCCAAGTTTAAGTCAATAAAGCAACCGTGCTAGAACCACGGGACTCGGGGAATGCCTTGCACCTTCTCCCAGGTCAATAGAATTCCTTACCCAAACTTTATTTTCGCGGACCGATAAAAATAGAGTCAAACCTTCCTTTGACTAGGGATTCAAATAAATGGTGACTTGGAACACCAAAAAATCAATTCCAAGTGGAGACTCTGAACAATAAAATAATCCCTACTCAAGTTTTTGTCACTTTAATTGAAAAAACTCTTTAACCCATAAATCCACATACACATATCTTTCGGGGGTAGAAAAGGGGTGTGACAATACTAACTTTCCAACAGAAGCTATGTTCCACAGTTTGCGGTTCTTGATATTCAGCCCACCTTGATTCTTAGGTCGAATACTTTCTCCCAGGCTACTAAAGGTATCCTCTTCTTCTCTGTAGTGCTTCCCCATAAGAAATTCCTACATTTCTTATCTACTTCCTTCAGCACACTTTGTGGGAGGATGAACACTGCCCCCAAAAAGTTATGTAGTGAAAATAGTACAGACAGAACCACCTGTAGCCTCCCTGCATAAGGAAGGTGCCTATTTAATATTGTGTCCAGCTTCTCAATGATCTTCACACATAGCTAGTGATAGTCCATTTTACTCCACCTCTTTGGGGATAATGTGAGACCAAGGTATCTCATAGGAAATGTGCCACTCGAGTAGCATGTGATGTCCAACAATTTCTGTTTTAGCTCATCATCTACTCCTGCAATATATATGCTTGACTTGTCTGTATTTGCCTTCAGACCTGTAGTCTCTGAGAAGTGTCTAAGTGCTTCCGTTATTCTCCTTACAACTGCCTCATTCCCTTTGCAAAACAACATTAAATCATCTGCAAATGTCAGGTGAGTGAGTTGTTGTTCCTTGCACATTGGGTGGTATTTAAAATCTGGCAGTTGGCTCATCCTCTTTAGGATCCTAGATAGATATTCTATCACCATAACAAAGAGCAGTGGGGATAATCCTTGTCTTAGACCCCTCTTCCCCTCAAAATAGCCATATCCCTCCCCATTAACCTTCACTGAGAACTTTGTTGTTAGACATGCCATGATCATCTGAATAAACTTTGGAGGAAAGCCATAACCCTTTAACATTTCTTCAATGAACTCCCATTGTACCATATCATACGCCTTCCTTAAGTCGATCTTCATTAGACATAGTTTATTTTTTATTTTTGGTATATGCTCATGTAAAGAAAATAACTTGCTTTAAATAATGCCTACATTTATGATATTGGGCGTGCAAGCTCATTGTTGTTGGCTGTTGCAATATGCTTTTATAGGAGAATAGAAGTGTTTGGCTATCTCATCAGAATATGTATAAGAATCTTATCGATAGTAGCTATTTCAATCATATGAATTGAATTTTGAAAAAATATTTAAGAGATTTGACATGAATACTTCTCATTCTTTATAAATAGTTATTAATATAACTATTCGATTTTATTAGATCCATATTATCTTACTCTCTTAGTTTCAAAAAGAATGGATATTTTACTTGGGAAATCAAATAAGGTTTTTCTTAACCATATTTTTTTGCAAATAATATTAAAATATTTTGAATTGTTAAATTGACTTGTAGAACTTCTTATGTAGTTTCTTAAATTTTATTTAAAAAAGTTAAAGAATCTATGTCCAAAATTCACACAAGGATTTAATCAATTTGATCCTGTACTCCGAAAATGTTCAAACAAATTGAAATAGAAGTATACGATATAACCGAATAACCATAAAATCAAATCGAAAAGAAAAAAATTCGGACCAAACCAAATTTACTTTGGTTTGAATTGGATGATATTTTTTTCAAAATCAAAAACTGAAAAGAGAAACAAAATAATGCAAAAGCAAACCAAAAATGGTATGCACCCAAACAAGTTAGGGTCGGAATATGAATTCTCACTAACCACATTACTCGACTAAATTTCATCTCATAACATGAATCAACACTCTGATGCAAATACTTTATTTCTTTTTCCTGGGATACCCCATAGTCCCAACAATGGAGCTATAGGTGGAATATGTTATTGAATAGAAAAATTATTACAAAATGCATTTGAACGCATTAGACCATATCTTGCTGCAAGTAACATATAGTAATCCTAACTTACGTAACAAAGAGACCATACACTAACTAAAAAAAGAAAGATGTATGTTTTCCCAACTCTAATGTAAGGAAATGAAGCTGTTACATCTAAAAGCTTCCTGACTTGAGTAGGTAATTCAGTAAAGCTATTGAAGAACAGATAATGTTGCATCTCAAATCCACTACTGAAGGAGAATCAAGAAAGATGTCATGGACATAAATAATAAAAAAATTAACTTTTTTTACAAGTTCGTTGAAATTGAACTTTTTTTACAAGTTTGTTGAAATTGCAGCCATCTCTATCCAAATGGCTTGTTCATTCTACATCTCTCAATTCTATTCGATATTTTAACACGATATCTGAGCTAAAAAGACTAAAAACCTGAAGTATAAATTAGCAGTGAGCAGTAAGCATTACTTCAGATGAAAATGGCATTATGCATTTTGCAGAACATTTTACCAACACGTGCACACACATAGGAGTCCTTTCCTGGGCAAAATTACAACAGTTCTTCACCCATTATCTGCAAGCCGCTTCAAGAAATCAAAACCAGCTGGCAGTCGCCACATTGTTTCGAATAGTTTTAGCATAAACAACGGTAACTCGGCAGAAGGCTTCAAAGATGAAGACCTTTGTAACTGCCCAAATCATAAAGAACCTAGGACCAAAGAAGGCTTAATGCGTAAATCATCTTTAACATTACATCTTTGTGCCGCTTTCTGTGTTTCCCAACTGTTTTTGGAGTTGAAGACAGAGTGCTGACACATCACAAAGCAACTTCTGGTATTGGCATACAGGTAATGCCTCATGAGATATTTGACTGGGGTGCACTAGTAAATTTTGGAGTTGCATACATAGCATCGATGCCTTTCCATCATTTTCACATGATTTAGCAATTAACTGAAGCAGTGTACAGCTTTGCTCCGGAGGAGCAAGTAACTGTGGTGGAACAGGGGGAACAAGGAAAGGATGTTGGAGTAGTTGAGGAATCCTCCATCTTTCATTTCGGTCCCATGCTAGACACTTCTTCATAAGATCAAGTAGCCAGGGGTTGGACAAAGGTTCATATGTGATTTCATGGTTTGGATCTGTTATAACTTTGAATTTCGCCCAGAAAGTTTTGTATTCTGCAAAGGGTGTTCTCCCATAAACCATTTGGTAAAGGATACATCCTAACGACCAGATATCAGAGGGCCGACCACATTTAATGGTATTGCCATTTGCATCTGTCTCATTACACATAAAGGCTTCAGGGGACATGTAGCTTAAAGTACCCACCTGTATAAGAATTAACATCCACTAAGAAAGCAAGGATGAAGTTGACATTGTTGATAACCATATTTTTATCTTCCTTTGGAAGTACACTTATCTTTTAGCTGCCGGGGTGAGGCAATCAGATGCATTCCATGTAAATCATAAAGCAAAAGAGTGGAATACCTGCGAATCACGTTGGATGTTGGTTGTGTCACTCATTATAGCCTTCGCTATACCAAAATCAATCAGCTTTAGTGAGCCTCTGACAAGAAGGAAATTAGCTGGCTTTAGGTCTGAGTGGACTATCCGTTCCTCATGTATGGTGTTAACAGCAAGAAGTATTTGCTGCAAAGTATGTTAAGAACTTTTGAGTGCAATTCAAAAATATTAAACTTTTACCAGATTCACAAAACCACATAATGTACTACATACAACAGTAGAAAATGAGAATAAGTATTGGTCTTACTTTGAATTATAAGCTTTTGTTGAGGGCGAACAACAACAACAACAACTCGGTATAGAGGTGGGTATTGAAAGATTGTCTTTCAGTACCAAAAAAAACCATAAACCAAAAAGGTTTGCAGATTGAGATAGAAAAAGCAATGATCTCAATTTTTTGAAAAGCAACTGACTAAAGTTCCTTTGTTCTGTTGTTTATTGCATTTGCTTATGACATACAGGAACAGACTCCAAAATTGGACTGTGTTTAAGTGATGGCCAGTCTCAGATAAGGCATTTTGCCCTAGGTCTGTCTCTAGGTTTGTGAATTTAAGTTGAATATGGAATTGCATACACCGTAAAATTGATAGAACAGAGTGAATAAAATGGGGAATGGATCAACTTTCCACCATTCATTTTGAAGGAGTGCTTGGCAAAAATTTCCCCTTTATTTCTCTTTTTCTTCCTCCATTTCCAACCAACACAGGCAAGCTCATATTTTCCATTCCTAATTTTCAGTTTTCATTGTCCAGCACCTTTAACCGCCCTTACCCAACTCCTAAAAAAAGAAAAGAAAGAGGAGACAAACAAACTAAGAAAAGTGGAAAGGCCATTAATGCACATTGATTTGCTGTTGGGTGGTGTTTCCCTCAGAATAGCCCACATTACCAAGTCAGTAGAGCTTTATCTCATATCCCCTGTCAATTTACTTCCATGCATAGACCCCAAAGGCCTGAACATTTTTCAAACACAGCAAAGCTGTATTGTTGACAAAACTCTGTTTCAAAGTCCAACGACACAAAATTTCAGACTGAAAATCCCTTCTCTTTACAGCTAATATAGATGGGGAAAATGTCCTCCTGCATCACCAGTTCACCTCTAAATCATAATGCTCAAATGAATTGCAGCTTCAAACACATGGCAAGAAATTAAAGAAAGACGACCAGGAAGAAGAAGAAGAAGATAGCACGTTCAGGATAAACAAATTTGCTTTTGATATATTTCTGATGTGTGATTATAAAAGAGTTTATTTAATAGTGATGAAGAAAGTGAATGTGATAACATTAACAAGATGATGCTTTCTCTTCAAGGAAACTTAAGTGAGATTATTAGGGTTTATTTAGTAGTGATGAAGAAGAGACTATTCTGTAGCATCATCTTCCTTCCTTGCCACCCTTCTCCGACTGGTATTTGCCCCTGTTTCAGTACTAGAAAAATCATAAACAATGTTGGAAGAGACCCAAAATATCGATAGAGGGCATCTGGGGATTCAAAGTAAGAGAATTTCCTTGGAAATTTTTCTTAAGTTTCTGGAAGGTAAAAATTTTCATCAAATAAACTCAGAAAACCATCAAATTCACAGGTAAAAAATGGGGAAGGAAAGGGAATTAAGGAAAAATGTATGTCGTAAACACGTGGCACTCAAATAAAGCCTCAGAGAGAAGGTTTCCGCTGTTATCTTGATTGTTTTATTCTCCATGCGCATGCCATATGTGGTTTCAGGGGGGCAATAGTTCCACTTTCACAAGTTAGGGTTGTGTAAAAGGAAGTCGCTAAGAAAAGATTTGTAAAAGAATTTTCGTACAAGTTTAGGGGGTAAAGTATATACTAAAGTCATTAATATTGAATGCCGAAGTAAGATAGATGCAAGGGAATAGAAGAATTGGTTACAAGTTTATCATAAGACGAGAAATAAGTACACCTGTTAGCTAAAAAAGTAAAACTTATTCACTTTGACTCAGAACAGGAAAAATTTAGGACCTGGAATTATTAAAGGAACAACTTAAGTTTAGGACAAGGAATCCACAGTAAAGTTAGGTCACGACAGCAACTCCATAATGATTTCTAACTGCAGTTAAAGGCGAAAAATAGAAGGAAATGACCTGCCAGTAAAATCGAAGCCAGTTTTCATCTATAATTGAATCCGGGTCATCTAGTTCCTTCCATTTTTGAGATAGCATATGAGCCAAATCAATTTCACCGTATTCGAGAACCATGTATATGTATCCGTCTTCTTTGACTCTGCTTTCATTATTACTCATTGAACCATTCATGACTTCATCTAGTAACCTCTTATCTGTGACCTAACAACAAAACGGACGTCAGTATTTGCTCAAAAACTAAACTGCAGATATCGAAAACCCCAGATAGTGACCCCCAACACCAAAGACAGGCACATGAAATTCTAGCCTCATCAGTAAGCCTATACTTTAGGTTGAGTAGCTAAGTTAGCAATTTAAACACAATAATACCTAGAAATAATCAATCATTCTGTGTCAACCCAGCTTTTGTTTAATAACCCCATAAGATTTTAACTCTTCAAGACAAGGAGATCTGTCTATCAGC